GAGAAGGGGGGGTTTCCTAACTTCCTTCCAGAGATGACACTTCTTGAAAATGCATATGTGAAAATAAAGAAAAGAAAAACGGAAACAACCGCCACGAAACCTCCTCCCAGTTAATACCGTAACATTTTGCAAGGGAGAGATTAAAAGTCCAGGGACGTTTGAGGTTGGGGGTGGGGGGAGAGGGGGCAACACATTTTGGACTCCTTAAAGCCACCACGATAGAGTTAGAGATAGGAAAAATAGTTTATAATTACCTCTGTTGAGTGAAGCTGAACTGTTTATATCTCCAGTAATAAAGGAAGACTCGGACTGCTTTCGAACTGTGTCATTCCACATCCTACGAATCCGGCTCTGAGGAGGGATTGAACCACAGCAGGTAATGAATTTTTAGCAGCGGCAGACCGGTTTCTTTCTGCCTCACTACAGACGGCTCTTGGCACGTCTAGCTCACGATGAGACTCGTTTCTGCCCAGCGGTAAGCGAGCGGTTGCTGCTTCGGTATAACCCGCCTAGTGCCGACCGGACGCTGCCTGCCTAACTTGGTGGCGCGAATGCCTACCGCAAACACGAGGTGCCTGATAGCACTGCCCGGATTGCTTACAACTTAATTAAAAAAAAAAAAAAAAAAAAAAGCAATGGAAATTATACACGAGAAAAACCTCAGGCCCGTGCAAGCTACAGGTTCACCAACATGAGTCGTCAAATAATGGGAAAACAACCTGCGCACCGAAGCATGCACGCTTCCCGTATCGCCTCAGACGGCTTGCGTCTATTTTTGTGAAGGGTAACAGAAGAGCTGATGTGCGTCTTGGTGTCCCTGGATGAACGGGAGTTTTCTGTAGCTACTATCCATCTTGGGGAATATCAGTTAAAAATACAGCCGCAAATAAATGACTTCTATTCCCCTCCTGAAAAACGTGTGGTGATTTTGCCATGTGCGTACATCTCCCGCTGCCTGGGAAACAGTGTCCCGAATGCGCTGGCCTTCTCTTTTGTTTCTCAGCGATGCTGCCGAGTATTTATCTCCACGGCTTTTACATCACTCCGTGTCTCTATCTCTCCTTCCCAGCTCCACCTTGCAAAATACCCTGAGCAGCTCAACCGCAGTCCCCGCGCCAGCACAGCTGGGGAACCCCAAGCCCTGTCTGTGGACAGGACCCACACTGTCCAGATACCGGTCATCCCAGTTCGGGCTGCTCCTGAACCTCACCTGACCCCCGGGAGGAGGACGGACGCATCCCACGGGTGCGTGAAGGTGGCGGTTTGGGGCATCGGGGAGGGGACCTCTTCCTTTCCCTAGCTGAGGGGCTGAAAAGCCAGGGGCGCTCCATAGCGGGATCCTGGCCGTGCAAGATCTGCCGAAGCTTACTCACTTGGCCACAGCTGGAAAGGGCCTCCCACTCCACTCGCTAATTATATATTGATGGCATCTCCTGGTCATTCATTAGCCCTTTATAAATGGAACCACAGCGTAACATGTGACCCATGCACTTTTGTAGCAATTACTTTGCACCTGGGCATTTCATCTATTGCATTTCTCTGACATGATCCAGTGTGGTTTAATTATTCTGTTTCCTAAGTGCTTTTCAGGGAAGAAAGGCATCTGATGAGTTTCCCTCCTCTTGGACTTTGCTATTGAAAAGTTTGGGGTCAGATACACCAACCTCACCACCTCAGGTCTCCACCCGTTCTCCACTGTGCACGTGAGGCTTCTCCTGCCTACGCCAGGTCCCGGGCCCTTCCACCCCTTCCAAGGACAAGCCTCCGTGGGCGATGTGACCTGCCTTGGTACCTCAAATCTCAGCCTGTTGCAACGGGACTGCTGCCAGGACAGGTGGTTCACCCTCCCAAGGGCATCTTTTCTCAGGCTGAGACTGCCAAGACGGAGGACCCATTAAAGTCACCTTTTCTTGGCAAGCAGGACACCTACCCGCTAGCTGAGTTGCAAAAAAAAACCAATGGATTTCAAAGCAGCCACTCAAATGTTGCTGGATAGAGTAAGCTTGGGACAGATGGGATTTTGGGATTGATGTGGCATTTGATGGCCTACTGGGGAGAAGCTCCCTATTCTGTTCCTATTTGCCCTGCATAATATCCAGCCCTTGGTAAATGCCAAAGTGGAGCTCTTGGATGACATCTTGGAAACCATAGAAAATAAATAACAATTGGCTCTGAGACATAAATAGCAAATTATGTTTTCTTGAGAGGTTATAAACTGTTATTTGCTGTGTGTCTTTCATAATTTAATAGTTGAACTGTCAAGTATAATTACTTCCATTAGTAATACTGAATAAATTTCTGTTTGGTTTCTATCGATTAAGAAGTAAGCTTCTTCATTTTATATGAACTGTTCTTCCATAAATCTGTATCTGTACATATAAGTCAGCTTGAAATTTGCTAAGTGCATAAACTAAACAAAAATTGAATTTTTGGATGACCAAACCATAACAAATTCAGTAACTTCATAAGAAAATGTGACCTCCCCCCCCAATGGATTCTCTTAAGAGATGTAGAAACTGAACAAAATCGAGTGAAGCAAGGAATCGATCAAATCAGTGAACGTCAGAAAGCGAGCTCTTTCCTGGCAGAGGCGACTGCAGGACTCGGTAGTCTTTTTTTAGCAAGAAAAATACTTGGCTGTTATAGTATCATTACTGTACACGGCAAGAGTGGTGACAACAATCTTCTGTGCGTGTCAAGGACACGCCAGGTGGCTTTTGCAGAGGATGGAACAGAACTGACAAAATGCTACCGGCTCCCGGTCCCCCTGGAGACTGCTGAGGTCGTGAGCACCCACCTGCCTCGCGAAGGCAAAATTCGGGCTTTTGATTCTCGTCGCAACTATATAAAAGGTTTCTGGAGGCACACTAATTGCCGTGACCACCCAAGGGAACCAACCGTGGTGGCTTCAGTTCGGGGAGGGAGGGAAGTCCTTCCAGTGGCACTGGGGATAGCGCTAGAGCAGCTCCTTCGGCTCCCACCGGACTCCCTGTGCGAGTGGGGTAGAGGCACAGAGAGGCCACCATCAAGGGGCTCAGCCAGGAGACACGAAGCTCTCGGGCCCGGAGAAGAAACGCCAGTTACCTGTGAGCCTGTGGAGTATCTTCCAGGCGTCCGCGACCCCGAGGTTTTTCCTGAGCCGATGGAGCTCTCTGTACTTTTCCCGCTACAGCAATGCGTGCGCAAGCATTTCCCATACTCCTTACGGACCTGAGCCAACGAAACAGGAAGGGCTGTTAACCGGCAGGTCCTCCTCCAACAGTCACGTTTCACATGGGCATCGCGGTCACCGGGCCAGCTCCTCGCCCGGATTAAAGCCCTGCCACCGCGCTGGCTTCACAGGAACCACGCTCCCTTGTGCCAGGTGAGGCTTTGACCAAGTTTGAGGTCCGAGTACGTCAGATTTTGGACAATAATACCCAGAAATCAGACGGGGCCAGACTGAAAATGCACGGACTGTATGGAAAAGGCAGGTCACATCGCCCACCCATGGAGAAAAAAAAAAAAATCCATATATGCACACCCAAAACCCCCACAGAGGTTACTTGCAGCACACAGTGCTCAGTTAGCTGTGAAATCTCCCTAGACTGACTATAAGCATTTCAAAACTCTACGAAACAACTGTTTAAATAGCAAATTACAGCTTTTTCATTATGCTTTTCCTTAAGCACTTGAGACAACCACAATACCACGAGTGCCCAATATGCTCGAATGCCTAATCAATCCTTTGCTGAGAGAAAATAATTCAATTGCTTTAATTAGCCACCCACTGCTTCCTCACTGCATTTTTTTTGCTGATTTTCTAGTCCATGACAGATAGGAAGGGAAAAGTTTTTTTTTTTTTTTCCTCTCTCTTCCTCAAATAATTCCTCCCTCAGCTCTCAGGTCAGAAGACTCATTCACCTACCACCGGCCTGTGGTCTCCTTTCCTCTACACCGCCATCAATCAGGAGCAATTTCAGAGTAAACAGTGATGGTTTAAGGGTACAAACTGCCTCAAGGCAGATGAGCGCGTGGTCTTTACGTTCAAAATGAGCCCTCTGAGAGCCGGCCAGGATCTGGTGCCACTCCGGTGAGCTGCGATCCATTTGCGAGATGGATCGGACCGGGCTGCGCGGGAGGTAGGGAGGATGGTCCAGAAACTCAACCTGCTTGTGAAAGGGGGCACCTGAGTGCCTAATGGGCATTTTGGAGCACGTTTGGCTAAAACTAAAGCTTTTCCGTCTATTAGGATGAATGAAATTAAGACAAAATGAGAAGGAGCAAAGCTCTGACCCCAGAAAGCCTCCCTTCAGGCTCAAGAGTGCCTTGCTATAATACACTTTATGTATGCTCTCTTAGGCCAGATCTCACTTTCCAGTTGAGCCCATAGGAAAATTTCCACTAATCTGAGTAGCACTGCAGAAAGCCCTGGGCCTTTTGACGGAGAGCAGACCTGAGTAAGACCCTACCTTTGCCCAGTGAGTCATTTTACCAAAAACCACTGGTCACACAGAGACTGGGACCCAGATGTCCACGTGTAAATTCTCCCCTGTGTTTACCCTGGGTACAGAAACTGGCCTTCAAAACCAAGATGTACACCAGAAGCCATCAGGAGACAGGCACAGAGTTGGAGAGCGCTGCACGACTGAATTTTAGTGGAAAATAAAACGGTTCTTAAAAATATTTATTACTGATTGCCAGCAGCTGTAAGTCTGATCTTCATCACACGCACAGACAAAAATTCCTTTTTTAAGCAGCGTTCACCCAAGTTACTCTGCTGTTATCTTGCAAATGTTAATTGGGTCATACTTCACGTTGCACCACGAAACATTTATCGCCCTCGTTTTGAGGAAGATTTCCAAAAGCGCAAATTGGGATGAAAAGATGCAAAGGCCGACGACCTGTTGCAGAACTTTAGTCTTTCAGGTCTTTTGTAAAAAAAAAAAAAAAAAAAAAAGCGGGGGAAAAAGCCCCTGCCACATACCATCCCCAGCACATACTGCCACGGAAAGGGACACTTCCCTGCCAGATTGCCCGGAGCGCAGAAGAGGCTGTGAAGCCCTGCATCGCTCTGAACGCTCAGCCACGCGAATAGCCTCCGTGATGCTCGCGGACTCGCTCCGGCGTCCGACCGGTGTAAGGGAAAGGAGGATCTGGCTGACAGCAGATGAAGCCCTTTGAGGGGTTTCCCGCTCCCCCGCCGACTGCGAGCTGCCTCCAACGCGCTCATCGCCAGCACCCCGCCTGCCGAAACGCCGCTGCCGCACGTCTTAGCTATCCCCTCGTTCCCCCGCATCCCTCCGCTTTCCCGGCTAAACACCACCCTTACGAGGCGCCCGGAGACCAACCCGCTCGACAGGAATCCCGCGCGCGCCGATAACGCGACGCTGCGGATGTCAGGCAACGCAACACCCCCGCTACCGCCGCTCTTGCTGCCGAGAACCGTCTTGGCTTACCTTTTTCTGGAGGACACAATGGAAAATGAATATAAACATTCCCTGCAGAGAATTGAATATGGTGAAGAGATAGGCCATGATGACTGTGCTTTCGTTAATGTACATGAGTCCAAAGGCCCAGGTCAGTCCTAGTAGGCAGAGTAGGGCTATTGCACCTATAACCCAGGACCTGTTAGGAGAAACAAAACAAAGAGAGAGAGGCGTTAGTCTTTCATCCGCGAAAGGACTGCACATGTCTACAAGCAGGGACGACTTGGGCCGTCACTTCAGCAAACAGAAACTAATGTCTCTAAATGAGCTGTTGGGATTTTTGTCTTGAATTGAATGTTGCAGTTTGCAGGTCTTCGAGCTTGAGGAAAAGACACGGACATGGAAATGTTACGAGCATGGCAATTCATCACAACCAAAGCATATCTGTCCCCACGATATTTCTGCTTCATTCTTTAATGTAAAAGCAGTGCATATGTAAATGATATGGAGATGCTGTTTCTGCAAATGGCAGGAGAAAGAAAACACACCAGCCAAAACAACAAACCTAAACGCCACTTTGCTAGTGTCCGCCGGCTTCACTGGGGCAGAAGTGCCAGCTGGATTAGCTTCTCTCAGCTTAACACCAAGACACATTTAGGGCTGCATTTTAGCTAGTCTCCCATCTGCCCATAAGCAAGCTAAATCACGGCAAGCAGGTGGGCAAGCCCTGCCTGCTGGCCAGCTCAGCTCTGCACAAAGCAGCTCCCTGCAATGCTGCTTCGCACTTCTTCCACCCTCTGAGGGGGGAAATACATATATATTATGCGCTCACACACCCGATTTGCTCAAACTGCAGCTGCCGCCACGCTTTGGCCCTGGGAAACTCGGGTGCGATCCTTCTTTGTAGCTGCCATCAAGCTACGATTGCTGCTTGCTCCAGCCCAGGAGGGAACCAGGAGCTGGGGTGCAGCCAGCGCTTGCTCCTAGCACGAGATAAAGTGTGCCGTGCAGGACGGGGATGGAAGGGGAACGGGGTCCTGCTCCAAACCATACCGCTAGCTTTCCATTTGCCACTTCACCTACAACTTTCAAAGACCCGCTCCTGCAAAGGGGAGAGAGTCCAGTTCCCCCCGGTAACCAAAGACCTGGATTTTCTTCCGTCTTTCCCTAACGTAAGTCAGATCTAACACCACAGGAACGAATGCAATGATGCTGGCGTAGCTGTCGGTCACCTCTCTCTTTGCTCCTCTTCCTCGTCCCTTCGACCCTCTGGCTCCCCAAAGCCCCTCGGCTTCCTCGCCCAGCCCCTGAAGCACCCTGGGGTGGCTGCTCCCCCCTGTGCAGCGCCAGGTGGCTTCAGCCTTGGAGCTACTTGGCCTGGCTCTGGGCTTCCACCTGCTGAGCAGAGCACGGGGCAGGGGGGAGGAAGATGACGAGGAAGGCGCTTCGGGGGAAACCCAGCCATGCACAGCTCGGGCCAGCAGCAGCTACTGTCGCGGCTCCACGGCAGCTCTGACTCCTTCTGCTTTCAACGGGGCTTGTCACTAACAGAAGCACACTGTTGTCGTATTTATGTTTTGCATTGTTTTTTTTTTCTTTAAATATTAGAGAGAAAATGGAGCGTTACGCCTTCCACTGAAGTTTATAAGATACGTATCATTTAACCACGCAACTGAAAGAGCTCCCTACGGTAACCACTTATTTAGGCACTTCTTTAAAAATCACTATTATGTATCTAGCAGACCAGAACAGCTCCTTTGAAGCATTTCCAGTCAGTCCTACTAATAAATATTTAGCAGTATGCAAATCGAAAATGCACTCTCAAGATCTTTCTGAAAGGTAGCCACCAGATAATGTTGACAGCTTTAACTGCTTGGTATGTTTTTCTCCCCGAGATCCCACCATCAGTGAGAGCACATTAAGATCTTAATTGCATGCCAGTTTTAAAAATACAAATCAATTTTTTTTTTTCCTGAAAAAAAATCCAACATATAAAGTGGAAACCACTTTCCTCTCCCCCTTTCTGCTCTACGGTTGGAAGGTTGCTGCCTTTCAAAAGGCTTTTGAAAATGGTCCACAGGATATCAGAAAACTATTTTGTTCTGAATTGCAGCCAATTCTGGAACCCGATTACAGAGCCTTTGACTGCAGAGGTGCACAGGAGTCAAAGGGTTATTTAACAACAACGGAAACGTGCTACCTTCACTGAGGGAAAGGGCTCTTTGGGCGAGAAGACCCTCACCGTGCAAACAGTACGTGATACAGTGCTGGCCTTCAGAAAACAGACCTGGAGATAAAGAGGGAGTGGAGGTTCCTTCAGACAGCTCCATTCCCTGCCCACAGGAAAAAAGAACCAAAGCGTGGAGGAGAAGATGGGGATGAGACCGGGAGAACGAACACAAAGGACTCTTCACCAGAAGAACAAACTGAAAGTCTACGGCGAAGCTGATTCGCTTCCTTTTTGTGCTACTGTGCTTTATTTTTTGGTTGCAGGACAAAAAGCACGGATGCTCTAAGGCATGTCTTTTCTAGGCATTTTTGGCTTTCTTCTTTTTTTTTTTTTTTCCGTTCGGTTTGTGGTTTTTCTTTTGCTCTCTGTACAGACTTGCTGTTGTTTTTTTCATAGTTTTGCTTTTCTGTGATGCAATTTGATAGTATTAAGGAAACAAAACCATCGTCTGTTGGCACAATGGAAAATTTGAAATTAGGGACAATTGGGTATTCCAATGTGTACATCTCCTAGGCACTGAAGAGGGCTTTACCTGGGCTGCTCCCATTGACCAGAACGGGAATCACCAACACACACACACCTTTCTGAAAATTTACTTCTCTACTGCATTAGCTATAAAGCACGCTCAGTGACAGAGCGCGGTGCACCAGAGGGTTGCTATTGGTAAAACAAGTCTGTACCACACACGACTACTTAGGTAATGTTCACATGGAATTCAAGTAATGTCCAATCAAGGAATATAAAGCAGATACAGCAACAAAATTGGTTGGCAATACATAGGCAGCACATTTACGCTGCATGTTAGCTGTATGCCCGGTCATTTTCCTGCACAGTTTGCTCTTCTGCCTCAAATGCGAATGACAGAAGCTTTAATGATTTTTCAATATTGATCTGACAGCCGGTTCATGGGACCACACTGATAAATGCAATTTATCAGCCATTCAGGTCATTCTTACTTGATGAAGGGTCTGTTATCCTCATAGCTAAAGAATGCGTAGACATAAAGACAAGAACACCAACATTAGAAATATAACGACAGAGCGAATATCGCTTACTGCTAGGCCCCCTCCCTTCTCTCGCCCGCCGTCACCGAAGCCAAAGGTAGACCCACAACCCACATCGGGTGCCCCCAGTACACCCCAGCCAGGCTGGCTCACTGCATCACCCTGAGAAGCAAGCACCATTAGCCGAGCGCTCCAGCCACCCCTCAGGGTGCCTCTGATGCCGACTGTGCAAACGTCCATTGACTCTGAAATCTGCTTAAAAAAAAAAAAAAAACAGTGCTATCTTGGGAGGACGCGAATTTTGAAACTGCAGTGCAGCCGCCCTAGAAAGCCTTCGTGCCTTCACTGCTCTTTGTTTGCTGTAGCGTATTACAAGAATCTCTTCGTTGCTGTCTACTTTTCCACAACTGTAACTCCCGAGTTGCCTACTTATGAGCTGGACTGCAGTGTTATCTTCTTTTGACGATAATGGCATTAGGACCTTCTAAAACCCTGGGTGACCAACGGCATCAGCCCATTTCCTCCCGTTTCCTAGGAAAGGACAAAGAAAGGACTCGGCCAAAAGTGAAAAGCAGTCTGCTGTAGTTACTTAAGAACAAGCTACGATGGGTCACTCAGATTTTGGCAACTGGGAGGAACCAAGATTATTTGCAGCCAGTTTTCCCAGGGGAATCACCCAGACCTTCGGGGACTGACTCTGTCCGCAATCCTGCCCGTAAGCCTGAGTGACATGCCACACACGGGGAGAGAAGGCCATCTCCAGGCTCCCTCTCCTCTCCCCGCATCGCTCTCTTCGCTCTTCCGACCCTATGAGATGGAGGCCGGTTCAATATGTTCATCTCGTTACCCCTGGCAATGCAGCTGGGGTTAATGCAGCCTGCTGAGACCTCCTTCGGTCAATAGTGACAAACTGTCAAGCTCTCCATGCCATCGCACAAACCTCTCCTCTTGGAGAGGACCCATTGCAGCCTGGGCTAGAAAGAAGCACCAGCACAGCTGCAGCGTTGAGGATGTGTTAAGTGCAACGGTTTTCAGCAGTAACTTTTGATCGAGAGGGACACTAAGTATGTCCAAGATGAGGCTTTGTTTTATGTCCTCCTAACAGCTACAGCCATGTAGGGACAGTTTCTGCCTGTGCTTGCACGTGCCTGAAGCCACAGAGGGGCTGCCTGAGGATCAACGGGAGCAGGGTCTACCCCTCATTGTACGAAGATGGTTTCACACAGTGTACTGTACAAAAATCTCCCCTTTTCCTCACACGTTGTCCTGGGCTGAGCCAGAATAGGCAGTGAGGCTGCCAGTCCCAGCGTTGCCCTGGCGGGGTCACCACGGGTGCTTGGGGAAGGGAGGGAGAAGCAGCCAAATGGGCTGATGTGGCGCAACATCTGCTCAACCCCCTGCTACGAGCAGTGAGACATGAGCAGAAGACCCATCTCACAGATGTGCTGGCAGCATGTGCTGGGGGTATTTTAGGGCTACCCTCTCAAAGCCCGTGGGCGTGCTCAGGACGAGAGCAGGATGAGGCTGGCAGTAAAGCCAGCGTGCACCAACCACATCCCTGGATCACTGGCCCAGCCGCCAGCACCTGCTAAGCCCCACCGCTGTTGTCTCCCACCTCGGCAGCCCTACGCCACCACAAGGACCTCCTGCCGCAGCATCCCAGGGCTGAGTCCTCCCCTCCTCCAGTTCCCTGTGATCAGTACTTCCCCACAGCATAGCTCCTTCACACTGGGAAGGGACAGAGGGACGGTTCCCACCACGCAGGACAAGAGCGGGGCAGGACTCATGCAGCTCTGCCATGACCCCTATCCATGAGGGATGGCCCCCATGTCATTCCTCTGCCCTGTGCTGCTGGAGAGAGCCAGCCGTCTGCTTGCTAGCAAAGAGCACGGACAAACAGACAAGCCAACATAACTTGTCGCTCAAAGACAGTATCTAACACCGCGCGGGGAAAGCACAGAGCGCATCCAACTTGGCGGTCCTCTAACAACAGACAAGTGTGGATGTCATGATCCCAGATCATGGGAAAAGGTGACCCCCAACTCCACGCACGGCTCGCACCCCAAGACGGGCAGCCCTACCACAGAGCAATTAAACGAAAGGTAGACATGAAACCGTCTGGAGCAACGTGTTGTGATCTGAAGCACTTCTGCCCAGAAACATGGACAGGAGCAGGGCATGGAATCCAATCACGGTGCTCGCAGGCATTCAGGTTTCATAGCAAAGATTTTGCTACTGAAATGCAGGTTGTTATTTCTTATAAAAAGAGAGAATTAGGGACATTCTTTACTTTGTTTCTGCTACCCAGACCTTCTCCAAGCTTTTCGGTGATCTGCAGTAGCCTTTCTTCAAGACAAATGAAGGCTCTGTTTTCTCTTTGCGCAGACAAAATGTGAAATCAGTAAACTCTGGCTGCCTTCTAGCTTAAGGATATCATTTTACAGCAGCCCAGGAAAGCACTGTCAAAAATACCTGAGGAGTTTCTGTCCCATTTCCAACTTGTTTGGACATAGATGCACCTTGGTCCCACTGCCTAAAGAGATCAGGTGCCTAAAGAAGGGAAAATTTCAAAGACACTTAGGTTCCCAGTGCCTAAACACTTCAAACCTCTACGCGTTTCACCAGTAAAACTTAGCCTTTTATACCGCACATGAAATATGGATCCTTGCTTTACATTTTACCAACTCAAGTGTTGTAAGAAGCTTAACTCTTGTGCTGGCAACAATTCTAGTCTGAGAAAAATTACTCCAGAATTTTTTTTTTTTCCCTGGGAAAGCGTGGGAAAACTATCAGTGGTGCATTAATACCGTGTTGCTGTCTGCAATACATAAAAGTCATCACCTAGACAGGAGAAAAGTCTTGGGACTGTAAATACTACCAGCCTTAGCTCACAGGAAAATGTAGCTGCTAACTGGAAAACTGAGATTATATTTACTAACGGTACAAGCAAACCATAATCAAATACAATGCTTAGGTAAGTATAAATTGTCAGAAAACCCAGCATAACGTAGCCTGAGAGGCCAAGTTTAAAATGCTTTCTGCAGAAATAATTTCCTCCTGATCTCTAGCAGTAAGGGTGGAATTCAGCCCATTTAATTTTAGCTAGGCAACTCTGATCCCTCCATAGGCTACAGGGGACTGACACCGCCAGAGAGCAATTTATCCCATCCTAGAAAATGTATATAAGGCAAGAGAGTTTCGTCGCTTCCCCCCCCAAATTGCTTTCTCTATTGACTACGGAGGAAACCTGAGTGATGGCTTAGGTGGGGGCTTTGCTTTTGAATACCTGAAGTCTAAAAGCCCGTCTTTAGTGGCTGCTTTATTCCTTTAACCTAGGAAATCTCCCCCCGCCTCCGTATGTTTCTTTGCCACCCAGATGATGGATAGCGGACGGTCTTCCATTCCGTATAAATACCCAATTCATTTTCTAATCTTAAAAAAGCCCTGACTTTACCTTGGGGCAAAGACTTCTTAAGGTTAATTACACATCATGCAAAACTCTTGCAAAATCTTATTTAAGTTAGATGTCTTTCAATTTCCCAAAGTACTTTCTTCTTAAATTATGAGAAAGGACTGTCCGTATTACCTTCTCCGCTCCTGCGATATTTCTAGACTCATCCATTTTGTTAAAGTTGCTAAAATTAGTAACCTAATGCCCTTGTTTAGATGCTTAAAGAATTTCCAGACCAATGCACCCCATGCTACTTTCAATATACCAAAAAGGCAGAGGCTCTGAAATCCCTTTGGCACTTCATACCTTTTTAAAACCCCAGTGTTTCCCTCTCTGCCGTAAGGTGACCAAAATGCCCTAACATACACCACCAGCCCCATACAGGGACACAGACAATCTACAGGTTACATTTTGTAGCGCGGACCACTTCTCACGTGCATGCACGTTAGCAACCCCCTGAGTTATTAAAGCCTTTCCTTTTTGTAGCGGTAAAAGTAAGGCAAGAATTTACCTTCACATCTATCTGTCTTAAAATGCTGCTGGAAAGACAACGCCTATTTATCAAAAAGCAGCTGTTCAACCTTCATTTAAAAATAATGATTTCTGGTCTTCCTACATTGCAAAAAGGGCTTGGTTTTCTATGATATTTAGCAAAAGGTACTTTTTGAGCCACATTTAGAGTGAAGCTACCCCTTTAATAAAAAGCTACATAACTTACCAGCTTCAGATGTTATCGTATTGCTTAGCACTAGATGATTTAATTTTAACTAACTTTAATTTATCATTCTTTTGACAATGTAAAGTATTTTCCCATATTGCTGATATCATGAAAAGCCTGAGGCTTAGCCAGCATGTAGACTGGGTGTTCTGGCCCCAAAATACAGGGTTTGGCTAGGGAGCAAAAATGCCAAAAGGAGTGCACAGTGAACAGGACTTTCAGAAGCTGTTACGGGTGATGAAACCCAAATAAAAATAGATGGATGAAGTGCACCCTCTAAAACATCCAGAGAAACCCAAGGAATTCATTTTAATATGCAGCAAATAACGTACAGAGACAGACATTTCCTGCAGGCAAGTACTAGAGAGACACAAAAAATAAAGTGTGCTATTGTGTCTCGTTGTTTGTGTCTTTCCTGTTTTTTTTTTTTTTGTATTTCCAGGATTAGAAAAGATTGATTTATCGAACTTCTGAAAATCTACAGTAAGTAGTCGGAAAGTCCAGAACTCCCCTCATAAAGCAAACAGGTTCATCGCTAATTAGTGAAAGAGAGTCGTCGTGTTGAGAAAAATCAATAGCAAGCAATAAAAGGGCTGCTTAAAGGATTTGTCTTCACATTCTGCGACAAAGTTACCACGCAAATGGCGTGGAGCCAAATCCTGTCCTAATCGCATTCCTTAGGCTGTTAATGTTCATCACATGGGTTTCCACGCAATAAGGCCCAGGATCTCATTTTTTCACTGTCTGGCTACCACACCATCTTTGACAGAGAGCTCGCGCCCTCGGGATCTCCCCAGGCCACTGGTGCTC